GCTGGAGTGAACACAGCACGGCTGCTTCCCGCACGGACCTGGGGCTGGACAAGAAACGACCCGGCCCGAGGGCGCCCGTCCAGCAGCCCCGCACACCCACCGCAGCCGAGGGCCCAGCGCGGACCAGTGCGCCCAGCTGGGCCATGTCAGCAGAAGCCAGCCCCGCTTGCTCTCGCTCTTGCCCCCAGGGAAAACGTGCCCCCGCGCCCCACAGCCGAGCATCTCGCTCGTCTTTCAGGTGAGGCTCAAGTGCCACCTAGGCGCAGGTGCCAGCACCCACGGGCGCCTCGGGAAGGATGGGACCGCAAATACACTCGTTAGCAGCACGCCCGCCGAGCGCCGCGCACAGCCGGGGGAGCAGAGGGCTGCCAGTGCTAAGGCCAAGACAGGCGTCAGTCCCTGGGCGAAGGCTGCACGTGGCACAGCGAGGCCCCGAGCATGGCTGCGCCGCGGGGCAGGGAGACGACCACCGTGCAGGCGGAAGCCCGCTCACGTTGGAGCCGGGCCGTCACAGTCGGGAGGTTTGACAGCAGCTTGGCCACAGGGAAGCCGGGCTGCAACCCCTCGGGGTCACACAGGCCCCCGCCTGCGCAGGGCAGGACTGTCCCTTTCTGAACCTGCCGGCAGAGGTGTGGGCCCCGGCTGCCAGGGCCTCTCCTGGCTGCAAAACAGCCCTTCCCGGCAGGACACAACCTGCCCCAGCCCCGGGAAGACGGTGCTGAGCTGGCGCCGGTTGCTGTAGCTCGGCACGAGGAGCCTTCCAGAGAGGACAGTTTCGCCAGGCTTGGCGTGACCCGTCAGGATGCCAATGGGCAGGTTCCCTGCGGTGGCCCAGGGCCCCAGCTGCCAGGCTGCTGTCCACATCTTTAGATTTACCCCGAAGCTGCCAGAGCCCTTCTGCCACCCTCCTCAAGGTGAGGCCCACGTCTTGGTGCATGCACACGCCCAGATCCCAGGAACCAGTGACACGGAGGCTAGTTATCAACCTGAATGTGAGCGTACAGCATCTTGCACGGGAGGCACCTGCCCGTGTCCTGGGCAAATTCCCTCTCAGGTCCTTACCACCTGCCTCCCACCACGCCATGAGCTAGACAGCAGCACGGCGCGGCTGCCATCTCCTCGGGCACGGCTGTCTGCGCTGCAGGGGCAGCTGGCACGACTGCAGCGCTCCCTGTGCGTGCAGCCTGCAATGCACTCGAGTTGGCCCGAAAGGGGTGCTTTGTAGGGGTGAAAGGCTGCATCACCGCCTGGCTTTGACCTGCCTGGGACAAGCGTGCTGTAGCTTCAAGCCTGACCCGCACCCGGCACTGGCAGGGTGAGGGGCACAGAAAAACCGCCCACTCTTCCCCACACCTACATCTACAAACCCACGTTGTGCGGAGGCGGCGCAGCGCAGCACTCAGGGCCCAGCAGACGCACAGCTCACGCGGCAGAGGCTCAGGGAGGCCGAGGTCTGGGACCACAAGCAGCTTGCCCGAGCGCTTTCTCCCCCTTCGCAGGGAAGCTGCAGAACAGCCTCGCTCGGCTCCTACCTGTGGGGTCTGCAAAGCAAAACAGCGCATGGTGCCCTCGTCCTCGCTGTCCTTTTGGGGTTGCAGGGCATCTTCATGCACAGGGCTGATGAAAGTAGCTTCAGAATGGCCTGGGCCACCTGGAGCCCAGCTGTCCCCTTGCACCCGATTTCCCCATCCTGAAATGGGCTCTGAGGGACTGTGCTGCTGGGCGCCAGGAAAAACTAACTGGACAGGGCCCTGGATCCCAGCAGGGTGTCAGGACATCTACAGCACAGACACCCAGCCAGGACGACCTGCTCGCCCCAGGGCTGGAGGGAGACCCCCCTCCCCGCCCTCCTCGTGCGGGAAGCCTGGGGTCTGCCCCTGCTGCAGCTGATGGGTGGCCAAGCCCCTTGCCCTTGCTGTGCCTCGGTCCTCATCCCACTCGCCTGCCTCTTTGGCCTCAACCTTTTGGGACAGCAGCTGCATCCCTTGCCCGGCGTGTGCACAGCTGTCAGCACAGCAGGGCCCCAGGCATCTCCGCAGCATAAGTAACAGCAACAGCCGGGAGTCCAAGGCCCTCCCCTTTGCTGCCTCCTCTGCACAGAAAAATACCTCGTCCCTCCCTGTCGCACACCCCAGAGGCAGGCAGCGGTCTGGGAACAGCAGCGTTACATGCAGCGAAGTCCCCGGCTCCGCCGCAGACAGCAGCTGGCAGGGGACCTGCCATTCCCGACCGGACCAGACCGCTGGCTGCAAGAATTGTGCCTCCAGCACGCGCCACGACTGGATGCTCCCGAGGAAGGAGGCCCAGCCCAGGCCCACACAGAGCACATAGCCAACTACCAGTACATGCATGTGGGGTGCTTCTGGCTCCCCCACCCCCTGGCTCAGTGCTCACTCGCTCAAGCATGAGCTCCATTACCCCTTTTACCTGGGCACGCAGAGCTCCCCGTGTCCCTGGCAGCTGGGGCACTGCTCAGCTGTTTCAGAAGCCCAGCCACAGCCCATGGGCACGAGTGCATGAGCAACCACTGCATGCTGAGAGTGGACAGGGACCCTTGAGACCCACCCAGAGCATGGCTTAGCCCTCTCCCCACAGTTTTAGCATGGCTCATCCTCTGGAGGCAAGCAGGGCTCGGCCACAAGTCACATCCAAATTACAGGGAAGTATTACAGGCATATGGGGAATCCCAGGGCTGGGACCACCAGGGCCAGCTCCCTGCAGAGGCGGGCTGCATTGTTCCCAAACCAACCCAGGAAGGCGCCCAGCCGGCCTTCTCTAGAAACGCTCCAGGAAGAGAGTCCACGACTTCCAACTTACCTACCCATGTACGCTGAGGGGATGGGGTTGTCTGGCAGTTGTGGACAGCTCTGTGTCTTTAGGACTTTTCCTTTTTTTCTCATTACAAACCACTTAGAACTGAGCCCGAGCCCCTTGCTCCCGATGTGCCGTCACCTTTGCACAGCAGGAGGTGGCATCCCGCAGCAGCTGGGCCTCGAATGCACCAGCTGAATGACTTCTGAAGCAGCCTGGCTCCTCTCTGCTGCCCAGATGCTGACTTGCCAGCAGCTTAATCACTGCCAACATGTGTTTTAGGATCAAGGATCCTTATTAGGACAATTAGGAGAGTGGGAGAGAGAGCCCTGACTTTAACAAGCTTCCTTGATCCTAACACAGTTAATTAACGAAATACTCTGGCAGCTTCAAAGATGCTTCTTACAGGGACTGCAACAGCCCCTAAGCTAGCGAGTGCGAGTCTGTGCAAACCAGTACAGCCAAGATTTTGCAGGTTGACCTACAAGCAGCACCTGCATGCTGGCACTCGCTCCTTGGCCCACGCCATTACCTGGCAGGCTGACTGCAGGCACATGTGACTGCCTGGAAAACATCTGTCTGCAGACCAGATTTGCTTCGAAAGCCTGGTCCTTGCAGACAACACTGCTGAGCAGAGTTGCTGTTAGGTTTCTTAGTTGTGTGAACTCGAGGCTTAGCAAACCTCTTCACAGGACCTCACCTGAGAAGCACGCGCATCCTGGGTGCTCCCCCAGAGAACAGGCATGCGGAGGGCAGGCCACATTCAGATCTACCAGCAGCCCCAGGTGCTCTCTCCTGACAGCCTTTGCCCAGCTTGTGTCCTACAGAGCCCAGTGGAGCCATGTACAGCACAGCATCCTGCCTGCACGTCACACAGGGCATGAGGGAAGAGGCCTCCTTGCCCTGATCTGGGATCTGCTGAAATCCTCTTTCAGAAAAGAAGCCCCCTCTGCGCATTGCAATCAACCACCCAAACCCTGCACATAGTTTACCACTGAGGCCAAGTCTCAGCCTCAGGGTAGGTAAGTCAAGGCTCTGCAACACGAGCTGTAGGCCCAGGCATTGCCACCCTAAATATGTACAGGCAGAGCCTTTACGCCCAGAGCCCACCCTAAACTGTATGCGACCACAAAGCCCACCGCCACTCAGCCTGTGGGAAGCATGTGCATGTGCGCCCAGCACAAACAATGCAAAGCTCATCTTAATACTAGGCCAAGCATGAATGCGGCAGGCTCCCGGAGGCTGGGGGGGCACGGCGAGCTCCCGCAGGCAGCCGCAGTGCTGTTGGCGGGGGGGGAAGGTGGCGAGTGCCGACCAGCAGCTGGCGACTACCCACAGACACGGCTGGCAATGTCGGCAGTGGCCAGTGGCGATCACAGACTGCCCGAAGACGCCGTGGCAAAGGGGGGTGCGGGGGGGTGTGGCAGTGAGCGGCAACCACCAACCGACGGTGCCTTTTCACAGGGGGTGCATGTGCATCCCCTGCATGTTGCCACTGAGGCCAAGAATAAAAACGAACCTTTTTACCTTGAATTGGGATGTCAAACTCATTTGGGACTGGTCCACGGGCCAGAGGAATGGTGTGGAGCCAGCCCTGCGGGTTGGAGTGGGCCCACGGACCCCCCTTCTGCTCTGGGACCCAGGAGGAAGAGGCCTGGCATCCTGGGCACTCGGCTGCTGCCACACGAACAAGCTGCAGTGCCAGGCTCCAACCCATGGTGTTGCTGGGGCTCCAGTGCCCCGGGTCTCACCCCGGGGCTTGGCTACAGCCATGGGAAGGTCTCCCCCATCAAGGCTGTGGGCCGGGTGACCTGGCTCTGTGGGCCGCACCTAGCCTGCAGCTGCATGTTTGACACCCCTGCCTTAAACAGTAAAATAATGAAGAGGGATGCTGTGAATTGTAGCATTATTTGTTTTAATGTTTATCAAGCCAAAGGATGCTTTGATCACGTACTCTTTCCACTTGGTACAGTATGTTACAGCAGTGCCACAAAAATGCCTTCTCTCCAGTGTCTGTAACATACTCACTTCCCTTACACTTCTGTTCACCTCTCAAGCGACACACACAACTCCCAGCTCTCCCCCATGAAGGCGGCGAGAACTATTTTGTTGCTGTTGCTGTTTTTCTTGTGTGGTTTTCTTTCTTTCCTTTTTATTTTTATTTTTTACAGTACAAAAGAATGTTCCTAAGTCATGTAAACATAACCACCGAGGAGAGTAAAATGGCCCTTATGGTTTTGTTGGCTTTCTACTAAGTTCATACTAAGCTACATTAGGCAGACAAATGTTTCAGTTCAGTGACTTCTTCCATGTAAGTTATTACTATTGTTACTGATAGGTGAGAGTGCTCAGAGACCCTGCCAGGGTTGCAGCCCCCTGTGCAAGGTGCCATACAAATATTCGGATGCAACTCTGAGGTCCTCGGTAAAGATGACATTCATTTGTCAGTGTGAACTTAACCTTCTGCTACCGCAGGGTTGGCTGAGTCTGGCTAATACAGGAACTGATTCTCCTGTGGAAATGGGCTCCCTTCTGTCAACATGAGTGCAAGTACAATGTGTGTCAGAGCTTTCTGGCTGGAGTTGCAGCATTCAACTACTGCCACAGAGGTAAGAAATATTAACGTGGAACAGTCTGGCAGCTCCCACTCACCTGCGTGTGCCTTCACACACTTGCTGGCTATGAGGGGAATGCTCACGTGTGTAAAGTCTGGTGAGTAGGGCTGTGGGCTTGGACCCACGAAATGAAGCGTGACAGAGAGAGACAGATCGAATGGCTCCCTGGGGCCTGACTTCCAGTGATTCAAATGGATGGATGGCAGCCATAGCCTCAGCTGCTCCATTTCAGTGGGCATAAAGTTGAGCGTTCTGATCCTTGGATTACGGACCCCGACTGCACCGTGTGCTGCTGTGACCAGTCCTGGTAAAAGCCTACGCAGCTGTCAGCCACATGCCGTGGCAGCAGGGAGGGTCAGTGTTGGATGGAGTGCTGGCCACCTCCGAGGCAGGGATTCTCCAAGCTAGCACAATGCCAGCACTGGCAACTGAAAACCCTTCAGAGCGATCACAGATTAAATAAGGATTTTAACTTGACATTGGAGATGAAAAAAGAAAGGGACATTTGAAATAAATAGCAGAGATGTGTCCCTATGATATACACATGTTCCTGACTACAGAATGTCCCATGCAAAAGTTACTGCCTGCTAAGTTACGCTCAGATGTTTAAATTAACTTTGTAGAGCTACGTTACAGTACTTGGAAATTGGATTAAAAATTTTTTTTTAAAAAGGTGATGAATGGGAAATTGGTACAATACACTCTTTTAAAGGAAACTTCCCACCCCGGTTGGCTGTGAGCGACATGACACGCTGTCTCAGTAGACGTACAGCCGGTCGGCAATGGCAGCCGGCATATGCGTCATGATCTGCATGCGCACCCACCAGTAGTAATCCATGGGGTGGTAGCGGGTGTAGGGGGTGGGGGAGCTCAGCGCGTGGAAGATGCTGTCGATGACAGGCGAGGTGTCAACTGAGCCGCTGTTGCAGTATGTCTCCATCTTGCTGACCTGCTCGTCAAAGTACTCCCTGCCGTAGTCGTTGCGCACAACTTCAGGGAGCTCTTCCCACATCTTATCTGCAATGGCTTTGATGCGCTCAGGGCTGTAGAGGCTGGTGGCAGCAATGAAGTTTCCCGGCTCCACAATGCAGACCTTCACGCCTTGGGAGTGCATCTCGTAGCGCAGGCAGTCAGAGAAGGCTTCCACGCCAAACTTGGTGATGCAGTACGGGGAGCGGGCAGGGCTGCCCATCCGGCCCATCATGCTGCTGATGTTCACCACGCGCCCTAGGCAGTGCCCAGCAAACCACAGCAGGGTCAGTTGGAGAAGCTGGCACCAGGTACTTGGCACATTACAAACAAGAAGCTGCACAATCAGAAGTTTCTGAACATCTAGGGGTCACGGGCACCTTTCAAAGTGCTTGCAAGTGCCACAGCTCTCTGAGCCCACACTGGGGCAGGCCACCTGCCCACCGGGGCCTTTGGCACACTGGGCACCAGCAGCTGCTCTGAATGGCCAGAGCAGAGAGGGTTCAGGTTCATGGCCAGGAGGAACGGCTGAGCAAGCCAGGGCTCACACTGGGCTTCCTCCTGGCTCCTTGGGCTCCTGGGTTCCAAGGCCTGGCCCTTGCTCCCTGGTGCCCTGTAGCTAATCCCTGCCCCAGGGGGAAAATGGACGGCAGCTTATTTGTGGGCTGGCAGAAGTAGATTTTTGCCTTGCTCTGAGGGCCGGCCTGCGGTGAACATCTGCCTTGGCAGCAGGGCAGGGTTGCAGACCTGCTTATGGGAGATCACTCACCTTTGGCCCTGCGGATCAGAGGGAGGAAAGCCTTGGTGGTTCGGACAGTTCCCCACAGATTGACTTCAGCTACCTCCATATATGTGTCCATGCTGGTGAACTCTACTTCTCCAAAGGTGGAGACCCCGGCATTGTTCACCAGCCCCCAAAGCCCTGAAAGTTTAAAACAAGTGGAAAGAAGGAGTCACCCATGTGCGACTAGAGGCAGTGTCCCAGGGGAAGGCCTTGCTAATGCATTATTGAATCACATAAAGCAGCTTCTAACTAAGTTGAATGACACTGAATTCCAGACAGGAAAGAACCCAGTTCAGAGCTCGCCTATTAGCCCAGGCATCACAACCACCAGAACCTGCCCACTTTGCCCCAAAGCAGAGCACTGCAAACAACATTAACAAAGCACCTCCATGAACAACTTGCCTCCTTCCTGTCTCCTTTTTATCCCTATTTGTAAAAAATCAGAAACAAAATCCAGTCTCAAAATGCAGGTATGTGGCAAGGCCTGCAGCCTCCTGACTCCTGATCCAAAGGAGAATTAAAAGGCAGGTCAGTTCATTCCAGGGCTGTGTCAATTTGTGCCCAGAACCTCCCAATGGTATTTATGACATGGGGCAAAAAGAAACCACACCCAGAAATAATGCAAAGTACTTTCCATGAAGGACTTTGCCACATTTGCAGTTGGTACCTGGAGTTAACCGACTGCCAGTTAATTCAGGGCTGTTAAGTTACTGGTAAAAGTGACCGTGGACTCAACCTAACACTCTAATCTACGAACGCCTGTAGGCTGGAACGAACGTGGCGAGCACCTGGGCCAGTGCTTACAAAGAAACTACCCCGAAGTTCTCGCCAAGCAAGCAACTTGACCTAAATATGTGAGCGAGCACATGAAAGCTAGAAATCTGCAGTGCAGGGGTGGGGAGCGGGTGCCTTTGTGGGATGGGCCTTGCTCTCAGGCTCTTCCTTTGGCTCCCTTATGGAAAAAGAGGAGGAAGGCAACCAGTGCTGCAGTCAGCAGCCTCTGGCAGTTGATGAATGATTAGAAGAGGAACTTGCAGTAATTGCAGCCCACTCCATACAGTCCCCTAATTACACAGGAAGCCGGCCCTTGGGCAGCGCCATAAAAGGATGTAGCTGTGTCTCCTGAGATGGCCTCTCTTTGTAGCTCAGTGAAAGCCAAATGACACCAGCTGATGGATCTGTCTGTGGTTTGCAGAACCCTGGGGGTGACCTCCCTCCAGGCTGTGCCAAGGAAGTTGTCACATGCAGATGTATTCCAACCCTGCACGTAGGTGAAATATATCAGAAGGAATCAGAGAAATGGGCTGATCTGAATTCTAGAATGATCTGCTCCGGGCTGCCTCCGCGCTACCTCAGTTAGAGCCCTACCCGCTGACTGCACCCCAGAAAAGAGGACCTTCATTGGGGCACGAAGGTCCTGGTCACCATGGGGCTCGCTGAGACTCAGCACCCGCACCCGGTGCTTTTGCCAGTGCTGAAGCAGGAGCCACTGCCTTCCCCCGTGTGGGGATTTCCCACTTGGCCCATGTCTCTCCCTCAGCCTAGATGGCCAATGCCAGCCTCACCCCCAGAACCCTGCGATACATGACCCCCTAGAAACCTGAGAAAGCTTCGAGAGTCTGAGCTGGCTTTAGAGGACGCTCCCAGGAGGAACTCTGCGTTTTTCCACATCACTTGCTGTACAGAAGCCAGGTGACAGATGCTTACTTGGCTCTAATCTCCACTCTTCACTACTGGCCCTCACGACTGCCCTGGGGTGCACAGTGCAGAGCCACTGCTGGCACAGGAGAGCATGGGCATGTGGGAAGGGAATCAGATCTCTCCAGGCCTCTGCTGCCTCCGAATGGGGACAGTCACGCCAGAGACTCCTGTCACTCAACAAGCTGCAAAGCATTAAGTAACAAACAAACCAAAGTACTTAACTCGTACCCGCAATTCCCTCTGCCCTCGCTCCGCACTTCCTGAGCAGCCAGAGCTGCTACCAATTGCAATGGGCTCAGGGGCAGTTCCAGGTGGCAAAGAAGCCTCACTTGGGGTCCACCAAGTCATAAATCCTCATAGCACCTCTGTGCAGAACCCACAGGGGAATGCCCAGGGTGGGTGCACAAGGAAGCCAAGAGGCAGTCTCCACGCTGACTTCCCAGGGGTCTCAGAGCTGCGAGCCACACTGAAAATCCCCCTCTCCAAGAAGCGCGCTGCCCTGCCACCTCTCATGGAAGCAAGGAGGTAGTGCTGGGAGTCGGCTCATGAGCAGTGCAGGACTCATCTTCTCTAAGAGCACCTGGACTGGCAACTCCTGGGGACAGAGGGGCCAGTCCTGCCAGGTGCTGAGCATTCACTGCTAAGCACAGGGCTAAAACCAGTCGTCAGACACAGCAGTGACTGGCAACGGGGCTTCCCCTCAGAGCTCAAGTGCCCCAGCACAGCTCCGTGGGCACCACCTTTGGAGGCAGGTTCACGCTGCTTCTCTGCAGAGCGCTCAGGAGGACTCTAGTGCTGGTAGTGGTTGAAAGGGACTCCTCCCCATGCGCTGAGCAAACATGAGATGCCAGCAGTTTTGAGGCACGGTCACCACCGGCCTGAGCTGGCCGCCACCTCCACCGGTGAAAGCTCTTTCCTCGGCCAGGCTGAGCTTGGCAGCGGTGCCACCTGGTGCACAAAGCCTGCACGGCTGCTGGGCAGGAGTCGGCCAAAGCCAGCATCGCCCACGCTGCCTCAGGAGCCAGAAGTGCGGAGCCCAATACAGTTTTGCACTGCGTGGCAGGGTGGACCCATGCATGCAGGGGCGGGTTGGCACGGCTCCTCTGCTCCCAGCTGCAGAGTGGCGTGCACAGCACTGGCTAAGGAGCTGCTGACCTGGGCAGCACACACCGCAAGAGCTTTCTCTGCTACAGTTCATCATGGGATTAAACACCTCCCTCTGAACTCAGGCCCAGGGGCCTGCTAGCATAACCTGGCACGCTGGACCCCAGGGGCTTTGCAAGCTGGGTTACAGCCCCAGGCTCCATGCGGAGCAAAGCACGAAGCTCCCACAAAGAACTGGACGGATGAGGACAACTCCAGAGGAACAGAAGCAACTTTCCGAGTGAGCGCTCAGGAGAGAATATGGCTTGACGGGGAGGGCCCCGAAGCATCCCCAGAGCTCCAGCAGGGACGGACAGCTCTGCCCTGCCTGACTAGCTCTGGCCCTGGCTTCACACCCTGACCTCTGCTCTCCATGAGAGGACGAGCAGCCCTGGGCTCAGCGGCACTTCCCTGAGCTGCAAGGGGGAAACGGAGCAGTGCAGCTGTGCCTGGACCCTGGGGCTGCACACTGCTTTCCACATTGATCCCAGGGGGCTCTGGCCCAGGGTGATGCTCAGAAGACACCTTACCCCCTCCATGTACAGACCTGCCGATGCAGGATTTGGCTTGCCCGGGCTCAGGTGACTCCCTGCAGCTGTGCTTCCTTGGCCTGGAGCTGAATCCTATGGGCCCAAGCACTGGGACAGCCAAGCATCACTGGGGCATTCAGCACAGCCCTGGCAACTCAAGCTCCCAGCCGGAGGAGGCCAGTGTCAGCCCCACAGCAGTGACTCCCAGGTGACCTGCAGTCTCTGCAGGATGGCTGCTCTGCACTGCTGCACCCAGCAGATGCTGGCTGAACATACAGCGGTTGACACCAGCCTGGGAATCCTTGCGGGCCCAAACCAAGGAACCCCAGCTGATGCCCAAGCCCAGCGAATGTGCTCTCACCTCTATCGGGGTCATCCAGGCTGGTGTTCACATATTCAACTGCTCGCTCCACTTCCTTGCCATCGCAGACATTGAGCTGGACTGTCCTCATCCGGTTGCTGTTCATGGCATCCAGGTCCTTATAGCCCCCTTCTCCCTTGTCCTAGACAGATCAAAGGAACCGGCTTAACTCCACCCAGGCTGCGGGAGGAAAGGGGCCAGACACAAGGCAGACACTCAAAATGCACAGGAGTGCATGGACAGCTGCAGTGAAGCAGGCAACCCTGCGGCCAGGGGGAATCATCCAGAGGAACACCCCCCTGGAAGCTCTCTCCACAGCCACTCAGCCTGGAACATGCAGCCTGCCAGAGCCAGGGAAGGTGGGCAGAGCTGGGGCTGCTGGGGTATGGCTACATGCTGCAGAGGAAGTCAGACCTTGGCCAGAGGGGCTGTGTGCTCACTGCTCTGTCACACCACTGGGGCTGGAAGGGCAGGGGACAGCTGGCCATGCCCCACTCCACAGCGGGAGTCTCAATGGTCTGCTGCTGCCAGCACCTTGCATCACTCGCTCCCTAGCACTCATGCACTGCGCGTCCCCAGCTCCCTGCCGTGCTCCATCTTCCCAAGGGAACGCGTCTGTTTCCCCTAGCAGCCCCTCCACCCTGCAGGCCAGGGGCATGACTGCCGCTTGTGGGGACAAGTCTAAGCCAGCTCGGGCCCAGCTAGCGGGGTGCGGCCACCCCAAGCTCACTGCGCTCCATTCCAGCACTCACCCAGGCCCCAGGCTCAACCCTGTAGCGCCACAGCCATGTGCCAAGCTGGCAGGCTCGAGCAAGCTCAAGATCCCTGCGCGGGACACAAGTACACTTGGGGACTGCAGTGCAGATTCACCTAGCCTTTCCCATCAGAATTCATCTGCTAGCCTCTTCACTGCCCTTCCTCCTGGCTGCTCCTGCAGCAGCAAGCCCTTTAGCTGCATTTCCTTCCATTCCTGCCTTTCCCCACCCAGCTCTTCCCTCACCACTCACTTGTGTTTCCAACCAGAGCAGTGTCCCTAGAGCCAAGTTGGAGCACTCGGGAGACTTGTTCACCAGTCCCGACTCCGGTTTCTACCCGACAGTCCAGAATCCCCCGTGCCCTCTGCTGTCGGCACAGCCTGCAGTCCCCTCCCAGCCATGCGCGAGGCCTCGGTGGGCTCTGGGCAAAGAGCTAGGAAAAGTCGGTGCTGCAGCTGCTGGGTGATTCTGGGCCAGGGCCTCAATGGCTGTGAGAAGCACCAGCTACCGTTCAGGTCCCTTACCAACAGCAGTGAGGCTCTGGCTCCAGAAGGCCTCAGTATGTTTGCACAACAAATTCACTGCAAGAAAGCCCCTCTGCTCCCTCTGCCACCTTGCTCACCAGGGCAACGGCTTGCTTATTTGCAAGCCAGTCGGGCAGCTTGTCACCCGGGCTCTGTGATGCTAGCGGCACCCTGGTTCCCCTGTAGTGGCCCCTCCTGCTTCAGTTCCTGGCTGACCGGCAGTGTTGTGCAAGCACTGGAGTGCTCCTCTTTCCCTGCCCTTTTGCCAACTGATTCAGTTCGACACAGCCATCCCGAGATGTTACCATTGCCATCCGCCTCCAGCCTCTCAGGAACAGAGACAAGGCTGCCACTGCTTTCCCAGGGGGGCATTCCCAATCTGGACTCAGCCTGCATCACCCCTAGTTCAGAGCCCCCACCCAGAAGGTGGATTCCCCCATCTGCCCAGCCCACACATCCCGTTGCCTGCAGACTGGGGCCACCAACCCCAGCGTCCCTGCACCCAAGGACTCTACCTCAGCTCCTCTTCCCCCAGGCCTCATCCGCTCTGCTGACAGGAGGTGTTTCTCTGCAGTCATTAACTCAAGCCCCACACGTCCTCTCTGCTATTGTCTCCATCCTTCCTTGGCACAAGCTGCTCATTCTAATGTGGACCATGTTAACGTGGGTTAGCTCTTGCCTACGTCAGACAGTGCCCGATGCTCTGGTAGCACAGAAGCGTTCTGCACAGGTGGGCATGGACAGCTGGCAGCTGAAGCCCCATGAGTGGCTTTTTCATTCGCTGGTTTTCAATGAGACTAAGAGCAGCATTCAGCGCGAGCCTGGCTGCTTGCTCGGACAGCTGGGAGCTGGACTCAGTGCATTTTGCAGGGGGTTTAACAGCATGAAGAGACAGGCTGAGAGGCTCTGAGAAGGAGTCACAAGAGACACGCATGCAAGCGTCTCAATCAGAGAAGGCCAGAGGACAGCAAAGAGGACCAGTGAGACCAAGACACCCCTGTCTGTGCCAGGCCTGTGGGAAGTTGCAGAATCACCATGCAGAGGAGAAACCCTGCAACGTGGGTGTGTCAGAACTGGGGCAGAGCACAAGGACTGCATCCCCAATGGCTGGGATCCTGGCACAAACTACCCGGGGAAGCGGGCCTGGTTTAACTGAACCCAACCTCCCTTAGCCAGGCTGCCATGCCACAGCCACTGGGAGTCTACTGCTTCTTCTTCCTTCACCTCTCTATGCAGCTGCCTTGGTAGGCCCAGACCACTCCCTTCCCCTTGGCCCTGGGCCAGAGCCACCCCTGTGCTGAGCAGTTCTGGGAAGCCAGGGAGCTCATGCAGTGGCCACCAGACATACAAGGGGCTGCTGCACAGTGAAGGAGCAGAGCAGGTGGTGCTGAGGCCAGACCCAAACCTGGAACCGTAGCCAGCATCCACTTCCTAGTGACCCTCCAGCAGTGCTAGAGACCCTTCCCAGCTGTGAGCAGGAGCGCACTTGTGCTAACGCTACAGCCTGGGTCTGATCATTTCAGGATGCTCCCTGCTGCCACATCCTGCTCTTTACCAGGCTGCCTGCAGTGGCCCGGGCCAGGCAGTGGAAGCCCCACTGGCCTGGCCACTGCATCCCTGCTGTGCTGCTTCTCAGCTCCTGGTTCCAAGAGATGCCTCTCAGTGAACTGCTCACATGCTCCCTAGTCCCTTTCTCCTCAAACCAAGCACAAATGCCACAAGGCCCGAGCAGGTAAAGGAAAGCAAACAGACTCCATGGCATTCCTGACAGCTGTGACAAACGCCAAGTATGTCTACTGGGAACACAGTACTGGAAAAATACCTTCTTCAGCTTGTGACATCTAGCTCCTACAGCTACCAGCCAAAGAGGAGAAGCAAGAGAGCTGCAGTGTGACGTTTAATTGGGTCCATGCTGCCATTATCTCTGGCAAGGAATCGTCCACACAAATCTAGCACGAACTGGTTGGGGACAGAGAGCATTTGGGAGAAACTTTGTGAAATCACATGTTGGAAGAAACAAAAGGCCAGACCCTCACTGCTGGCTTGGTTTCAATGCAACTGCCTTTCAGTCTGAGTTTCCTCAAGTGAGAAGTAAAAGGCTCAGGACCTGGCTCATCAGGACACTGTTACTAAATGAGAGGACCGCAGCAGAGGCCCATAGCATGTGCCATTCATTTACCATGGTCTCCGCAGGCCAGGAAGGGAACACAGCTGTAGTTCTGTTTATGTGATGACATTTCACAACATGAGATTGGGAAGTTCCAGCACCACTTTCCATCGATCCCTCCTAAATCTAATGTACATAACTTACAAATCGAAGTCTATTCTCTGTATTCCCAACTACTGATACTCTGCCTGGGATCTACAAACCGTGGTGGGTTTCTTCCCACTTCCCAAGTTATCACCAGCAATAATCTTTCTGCAGTCAGAATTCTGCTTACGGAATTGGTAATGGTGCCCAAGGCATGAAGAGAAATCCGGTTTCTCTCCCATAACTGCCCAGGCAGAAACTTGACTTTGTTGGATATGCCCTGAAGACACAGGAAGCAGATCTGCTGAATGTGTACAGCACTCTCTTGATGAAACTGCAGCTTAAATCACATTGCCAGTGTCTGCTATGGTCTCGCTATATGAAGAGCACACCACACAGAGTCCAGCAAAAATGCAGTATTAATTTGAAAGTGAGAAGCACTAAGGTGGCACAGGACTCTGCTGAGCCAGGAGCTGGCACGCAAAGACAAAGCTTCATATGGGGCTGCCAAGCAGCTGGAGCGCCACACTGGAGAAGTTTCAGGCTCAGTGTCTAAGGGGTCTGTGGCATCTGCTCAAAGGGAGACACTGGTACAGATCTGCCTTTCAGAAACAGCTGATCATCTGCCCTCTCAAGATCTGGCCTTCTTATGGGCCTCAGGACAGGAAGTCAAGAACAGAGGCACCAAAAACCATGAATTATTTTTTGAAAATTCTGGTCCTGGTCCATATACAGGTTGATTTTTTTTCTAGACCGGTGCATTTAAGCATTCAAGCTTTCTACACATTAACATGTTTCTCTCTTATTACAAAAGACCAAGATCAATAAAAGCAATATTCACCATTCTGTCCCTCAGTTATTTTGAAAAGTAGCAACTGCTTATAGAGGACCTAAAATGAGTTTATTCCTCCAATGAAGAGCCAGCAGGGGGAGCTTCTGCTAATAAATAGACCCTCTACCCAGGGCTGCCCTGCTACATTTGATAGAGATACTAAAAGATTAATTTCTTTCTTTTAAAATAACACCACAAAATAAATAACAAATTTTTAAAGACTTAAAAAATATTAATGGAAAAGCTAAAAAAGGCACAGCATTAAAAATATTTAAAAAACAAAACAAAAAAACCAACACTCTCTTGTGATGCTGCTGAAGGAATATGCTATGAAGGATGTAGGTATGGTTAAGAGGAGCTAAGACTGGTGCGTTAAAGCAGGTGAGCCACCCTGCCACCTCCTTGGAGAATGTGTCTTGTGCTGGCCCCAAGGCCAGAGTTCTGCCCCATCCTACAGACCCTGTCATAAAGAAACGGCCGCTGAGGTGCCGAGCAGAACAGTCTGGTTAGGCTCTTTGGGGCCAGATCTTAGTCTCACTCCCACCAGTGCAATGCTACTGGCTACACTGCAGCCGGTCCGGATGCACAGGACTGTTCATCCTTCTGAACATGGAGCTGACACCACTTGTCACGTACACACTCGGGGCAGGGGGAGAGGGAGGAGATGAGGGGGCAGGAATCGCTCAGTCACGTGAGCTTCACGTACATAAATAAGTCTTACTGCAAGATTAGGCCCAAAGGTCCACCTCACCGAGTCCATCTTGATTCAAGAGACCCAGTGTATCATCATGTTCAGCCTGGATGTTGTAGCCCAGGTCTGAACTGGGTCAGAACCAGGACACTCAGGTATGGATTCATACACAAACTTCTCAGAAGTCTGAGTTGCCTGGATCTGAGGTTTTGGCCCAGCCTCATAAACCAAAGCTTGTGTCCTTTCTAGTGACTCCAACTGGTAGGCAACCGTGCAGGGCGACAACGCAGGGGTGTGTTTGCTGCACTACGGTGTATGTGCTATAGACTGAAGACCAAGTGTTCCTCTTTTCTTACCTTCTGTAGGCAGCCAGCAAAGACAATGAAGCCTTTGGAGTGCAGGTGTTTGGCTAAGGAGAACCCAAATCCAGAGTCACAGCCAGTGATGAGCACAGATCTTTTGCCAATCTGTGAAGCAAGACAAAACAAAATATGTTGGAAAAGTGTTTGCAGTGATCGATTTGCAGAGTGCAAATAAAACCTGGGGGCTGGTACAGGCCTACCCGTCCCAAGGACATTCTACACCTGTGAAAGCCGGCACAACCTGCTGCGTTCCAGAGGGAAAGGAGGAGTGTGCGAGGCAGGGACTCTCTCTTCCCAAACATGAAGGGTGACTCAGAATCCAGGGGTGATGGTCCCCAGCACAGCAGAGGCCAGGAAACCCCACAGCCCCAAGGGGTCGGACGGACACACACACACACACACACACA